ATCTCATGCGTAAGTTTGCCCCAAACAAAAGTCAAGATAACTCATTTATTGCGAGGATCCAACACCACAGCTATATACAATAAAAGATTTATGTTATCAATGTTTTCCCAGTACTTATCATGATTTGCTTTCATTGAGACGTCAATTTCCCTATCTTCCTTATTTGAACTCAAGCATATTTTTTAAATGCTTACATGCATTACCACTAGTTCTTTGAAAAATAAGTTTGAGGTAACATATTTTTTCCCCGAAATCAGATTAGTCACATAGTAGAAGATCTTCAGATATTTAATAAAGCGTCGTGCTTTCGCCCAATAACTTTTGCTTGGAGGTCCCAATTTTTTTCCCTCTTTCGCTTCCTTGTATTAGATTACTCCTCGTCACTACCAACTTGAAAGTACTCAAAGTTTTAATCCAATGATTGAAGCCTGGCAAAAGCATTGGCATACTTATCAGAAGTTTTCAACATCAAATATGTGGAATTCCACCTTTTTTCGACGTCTAAACAAACTTTCTTTGTGCAATCTATCTTCCCCCTCTCGACACACTCTGAATTTTGCCTCTCTAGGCGGAGAGGATCTGACATATATTTCCGAATTTCTGATTTTAACAACCGAGAGGTTCTGTTCCCCTAATCCATCCCTCACCACAAGATTTAAGATATGGGCGCAACACCTTAAATGCAGAAACCTACACTCTAAGATTGCATCAGGTCCGCTAAGCATGGTTTCTAAGAATTTAATTGCCCCATCATTTAATGAAGCATTATCCAATGTTTTGAAAACCGGACCGGACATCGACCCGGCAAAGCTACCGGGTCGCGGTTGGACCGGTTCAACCGGGGTCCAACCGGGTTTTTTATTTTTTTTATATATTTAATTATTTTATTAATTTAATACCTCAAATATAATATATTTTATATTTTTATATTTCCTTCATACTTTCATCACTTTATTATCCAACTTACTCCACCTTTTTTTATTACAAAAATAGTTTAAAATTATTAATTTCTCCACACTCCTCTCTCTCTCTCTCTCTCTCCTCTCCCACTCCCTCTCTCTCTCTCTCTCTCTCTCTCTCTCTTCTTTCTTCTTCCTCTCGTCTTCACAGACCCCATCTCCTTCTTCTCTTCTTCTCTCCTTCTTTTCTTCTCTTCTTCATTGTTGTTTATTCTTAATTATCCTCATTTCCACCCAAATATATACTCTATTTCCTCAACTTATTTTTTCATTTTTTTCTTCATTTTCACTTTCATCTTCTTCGTTTTTGTTTCTTCGATGGAAAGCTATGGCGGCCACCACTTGGATTGGGTCACATACTACCCAGATCTGTTCACCAACAAACTTTTCCGACAAGATTCAATCACCAACGACCACCATTGACATAGATCCGACCATGAATTTTTTTTTTGAGCTGAAAACCGGTTTTCGACTGGGTTCCGAGTTAACCGGTTTTTACCGGTGGAACCGGGATTTTGGCAGTTGAACCGGTTTTTTGGGCTTTTCGGGTTTTCACATATAACCGGACCGGACATGGCAGCGGTTCGCGGTTGAACCGGTCGGACCGGCCGGTCCGGTCCGGTTTTCAAAACATTGGCATTATCCACCGTCACGGTAAAAACGCGCTCAATACCCTAATTCTGCAAGCTAGAGTAAATCAACTGTTCAATTGTCAACCCCTTGTGATTCTCAATGCGACACAAGTTCAATATATTTTTCCTTAGTACCCAATTAGTTAGCCAACTTGGGCATGTATTATTACTTTAAGTTAACTTGGGCTTGGTTTGTGTGCCTCTATTGGTTTAGTCGATATGGGCTTTTGGGGGTGGGTCCATCAACCACGATAAATAATATTACTGTTAACCAAATTATGTGTGTTGACAATAATATGAAATAATATTATTGTGGTAATTTTAATACTACTGTCTTGGCCTGTAATATTACTGTCTCAGACAATAATAGCATAATAATATTATTGTCTTAATATTAATATTATTGTCTTGACCTGCAATATTAATGTCTCAGACCATAATGTTAGTGCTAGCACGGTAATATTATTGTGTTGGTTGTTTAAATAATAAAAAAAAATGGAAAAAAAGGTTAAAAATATTTAATATTATTGTGAACATAGTAATATCACTCTGTAAGACAAGAAGATTATTGTGTTGTATTCAGATCAATCGTATTGTGTTGATCGGACAACAACAGGAAAATAAAATAATTCAAATAAAGGGATTAGGAAAAAAGAGTCGATGTCGAGGACTAGTGGACAAAAGTGGTGGGCGAAAGAAAATTTCAGAATTTAAAAAAAAAAGAAATTTAAATAATAAAAGGAAAAAGTAACTGTTAACCTCAAATTTAAATGTCTGCAAAATAAATTACAAGACAAGAAAATATAAGAACAAATAATTATATTTTAATCAAAACGAAAATGGGTTACAATCTTTGTTGATTCCTCTGATTCTTCTCCTAGATATAATCCAAGGGCCGAAGCTTGTTCTTGAATTGAGAGCTTGATTCCACCGTTGATTTGCGGAAGTAGATATGAATATCTAGAAATCGATTTAGGGATTTCTAGGTCTTGTGGATTTGGTGCCTTGATGAAGATGTAGAACCTCCGCGGTTGTTGTTCTTCGTCGTGGCAAGAGCTCGAGACTTGAGAGCTTTTGAGTGCTTGATGTACGCCTTGCTTGATGCTTGTGTCCTTGTCTTCTTGTATAATACCTCATTTTATAGGCTCGGTTTAGGGTTTCTTGACTTGAAACTTGGGCCGGTGGACTCGGACACTTGCAACTTATTTATTGTGGGCCATACTTTGTGAGCCCAAACAGCTAACCCAATAATAAGAATTTAGTACTCAATTCTGGGTTAACTCATATGATATATTTGTGAAGCCCAAATTTTGTGGACTTCAATACAAAATCCAAAATTTATTATGGACTGTTAATCGAGATCCAAATTAATAACCAAATTATTTAGGCCATTAATTTGTAGTTTAATCCCAATTTCGATGTCAACAGTAACTCTTGAGACTGGCGGTCAATGCCGAAGACCGGTGGTCGATACCGGTCAATGGCCGGAAAAAAAGTTTAGATTTTCGTTTTTTTCTTTTAATTTCTAAAACAAAATATTCAAAAAATTGATATATGGATGTTAATGTTTGTTAATATTAGGGATTAATGTGCAATATATATTAAATTAGAATATTATTGATAAAATTGATGCAAATTATATTACGAGGTATATTTTAAGTAAGACCCAAAGGGATTAGTTTGTTTTAGAACTGAATTTGGTCTTAATAAGAGTGCAGATAAGTTTAGCCCAATGGAATAATATGCAGTTCGAATGTTAGAAGTGAAAGTCAAATGATATCACAAATATTATATGTCAACTCTACACTAAAGAAAGAAAAAAAACTAAAATACTATATGTCAACTAACCCAATGGTTGCAGAAAACTTATTGACATAATTAGTTATACTCAAACAATCTCGATAGATGAATTATACCAATGTTGTTAGAACCGGATCGAACCGGCCGGTCGGACCGGTTTGACCATGATCCGGCAATAAAGCGGTTCGGTCTAACATCGAAACCAGACAATTTTGAAAACCGGGGTCAAATGATCAAAACCCGGTTCGACCGGGTAAAACCCGAGAACCGACGAGTCAGTCAATGAACCCGGTTTTCGGCCAAAACGCCTCGAATCACCGTTTAGTTGGTTATTTGTCGCTAGATTTGAGCGAACTTTCACATACTTAGTAGTGGCTGACCGGATTTAGTCATGAGGGGCCGAAGGATTGTCGGATATGATCGTGGGGGATCGAATAGGGGTAGCCGATTGCCGGATTGCCGGATTTGAAGAATAAAAAATGATAAAAGATAGAGTATAAACAATAAAATATAGTAAAAAGTGAGGTGAAGTAGATAAAAGTAAGAATAATAACTGGGAGATTAAAAATATAAAGAAAATAATATTTTTGAAACAATAAAATCAATAAAATAATGTCATATTAAAAAAAAAAAAAAAACTCGGTTGAACCGGTTCGATCCTATGAACCCATGACCCAAATGGTCGTTCGATTCTATAACGGGTCCGGTTTTGTAAACATTGAATTATACTATAAAATTAAAATTTGCAAATTGAAATTTTATAATGAGATGAGAGATCAAAAAACTTAATGCTTATCTTTTAATTGTCAACCCAAACAACAACGTGGTGTGATGAGTTTATATCGTGTCGTTGACTAGTCTTAGTATTTTTATTTTGTACTTCAAAAACCATTACAAGACGATGCTCATTTGGTACCTGGCCCAATTTATAGCCTCCATTCAGACAAGTATATATATAAATATATATGCCTGTATAAAAATAAGTCTAAATTCCACTTACCTCCTTATATTTTGACTCAATATCATTTTACCCCTTTCTACTTTCGATTGCATTGATTTTTCCCCTGATTTGAAAAGTTGTTTCAATGTGGCCCTCGCCGTCCGTTAGTTTTCAGACCTTTTACATTAACACCGTTTGTGATCTAAGGTTGCAAATTACAAAAAAAGCAACCCCTACCAGTTTAAATAATCATTTACAAAAATTAAAAAAAAATTAAAAATAAATTGTGGTTGGCGTCGTGAACTATGTTTTCTCGTTGTCTTGAATTTTTTATATATTTTATTTTATTTTCTTTAATAAGTATTTAAACTAGGAGATGTGACGTTTTTGTAATTTCAGAGCTTAAATCAAACGGTGTTAAGGTCAAATGTCTGACAACTAACAACGAGGGCACCTTGGGACAATTTTTCAAGTGCAGGGGGGCAAATCGATGCAATCAAGAGTAAAAGGGGGTAAAGTGATACTGAGTCAGAGTACAAGAATGGAGAGTTGAATTTTAATTTATGTACATGTATATATATATAGGTCCACTCCACTTCCCCCATAACCATATTCGAAAACCTTAGAAAAATATCTCCCGGCCGACCACCAGTCATCACTCCGTCGTCCTCCACCATGGCCAGCACCACCACCATCGTCGTAGATGAGAGCGGCAATTACGGATTCGAGAGAAGTGACATGTACGAAAGCAAACTCGCCGGAAGTGTTGAACAGTACGAACGACACCTGTTCCTATGCTACAAGTCGCATGAGTTGTGGCCTACACGAGTCGAGGAATCTGATGCCGATCCTCTCCCTAAGCTTCTCGCCTCTGCCCTTAAAGCTCGTAAAAACGACATTAAACTCAAGGTCCGGATCCGTACTAATACATGCACGTTCTTATTTTTTTTCCCCGTTTATATTATTTTAGTTGTTTATATTCTCACTGTCGTTAAATGTTGTGGGTGGTCGGTACGATCACACCACCATGCATATTTGTTTTTCTATCAACGACACATTTTAAAAATGTAGCCGTTGTATTCCATTGAAGAAGAAATGAAACTTGTGTTTATTAACAACTGTAGACTCGGTTTTTTTTTTTTTTTTTTGTCAAAAAAAGTCGTAATTTTTTTGCATCTCACTGGAAAATTAAGCCCACATTGTAACTAGATCCTGGAAAACTATATATATATATATATATATATATATATATATATATATATATATATATATATTTTTTTTTGCATCTCGTGTGCTTGCATTTTGTCTTTCAGATATTTAATTTTTTGGTGTATTTAATTTCTTGGAAATATATCAAACCACATGCATATATATTATAATTTTGGCGATTTGGGAACTTGTAGACTCGTTTGACTATATGCGAGGCAGGCGACAAGGGGAAGTTGTCAGATGGAGACGTACTGATTTTTCCAGAAATGATTGTATACAGGTATGAACATACTTAAGGAATATATACATATATTCATTATTAAATTATTGATATTGCCTTAGTTTTAATTGGTTGGAAATTGTACGTCTTTGTTTTGGTTTATTGAAGGGGCTTGATAGAGTCCGAAGGTGATAGGTTTGTTGAAGATGTGCTTGTAAATGAAAAGGTTGACCTGTCTGGAAAGATCGAAAAATTGAGTGGCTCATACGTGTTCGTTTGTTGTCATAACAATCGAGACCGACGATGTGGGGTTTGTGGCCCGATTTTGATTGAGAAGTTTAAGGAAGAGATTGGATCCAAAGATTTGACGAAGCATGTATTTGTGACTTCTTGCTCACATGTAGGAGGACACAAGTATGCAGGCAATGTGATCATCTTTAGTGCAACTCCTCAAGGAAAAATTAGTGGTAACTGGTATGGACTACACTTTTCTCTACTTTGTGTTTGACTTAGTTTTTTGGCTAAACGTTAAGTTCATGAGCACTGCATCATTAATCATAGTGATAGTGCTTCGTCGGAAGTGATAAAGTTTCGTCTTAAGAGTTGAAATCGCCGATTTATCGTTCGGAACGGCGACAAACGTCGCTTTCGCGCACCTGAATAATGAGTGATACCCTAGATGAAACAATATCAGAAGTTGTTGGTAAAAAGTAAAGACAAGGTAGCCTGTTGGTAAGCACCTTGCACTCAGGACCATTGGTCATGAATTCAATACACCAAGAGGGGGATTGGGAAACCAATAACTATATCGTCCTTAAAATAAATTGTTACTATAAAGACAACATTTTGTATGCTGTGCTCATTTTGTTTTCACTTAAATAATTTTTTATGTCACTATGACTATATAATTATATATAGAAGTGACAATCACATTTTATCATCAATATATAGAATTAGTGATACCCTATTAGTAATTCATAATATTTTGTTTCGCCTGATGAATCATGTAAAAAGAGGTGTTGTCACTCAAAAAATTATTTGTTGTATGTGTATCCATGTACATCATAAAATGATTCATCCTCCATTCTTCAGGTACGGGTATGTTACACCCGGCGACATTCATGAATTGATTGATAAACAAATTGGGCAAGGAGAAGCCGTTGACCGGATTTGGAGGTGTGCTTTCTTTCTTCATCTTCCTTTTCTTAATATCTAATTATTGTTTCGCCACAATGGGAAACTATATAGTACGGAAATTTCAACTTTTTAACGTTTTCGCGTTTCGGACATGTTTCGTGTACGACACTAAACGACAGCCGCCGGACACCTTATTGGCCATTTTACAATTTCTAAAAGATTAAAAACATGTTTGAATAGTAAATTTTCAGATATTTTTGTTACTTCCCTAATTAAATACATGATTTATTGATCAACTACAAATTGATAGTTGATAATAATATTAATTTTGAATATATTTGTATGGAAATATAAAAAAGTTATATATAAATAAAAGTTTATATATGTTTATATAGCATATTTATAAATATGCCCCTATACTTTTAATATTTATACGTTTTCCCCAAGTTCTTGTATCTCCATTTTTCGGACATGCCGTTTCGACGTACCCTTTGTTCCCCGTTTCTCTGTATTGTCATTTTCGTGTTTGCGCTACATAGATAAGAAGTGAATATTTTATGCATACCATGATTATATACAGAGGCCAAATGGGTGCTAATATCAAAGGAGTTGAGGAACCGAATCATACTAATGGAACAAATGTGAAGAGCAACGAGAAACAACCTGAAAAGATTGTTGCTGCTTCGGCAAGTACTGGAGGGTGTTGCAGAGGTGCCGATGGATTTTCATGCTGCAAAGACGAAAATGTTGAGAATAAACCAGTTAAAAAAGGACTCTTGTCGTGGATAGGAAAATAGGAGCAACACCATATTATCACTAGTGTTGTTGTGATGGGTGCAGTTGTTGCAGCTGTTGTGGCTTATGGTGCGTACTAAACTACTATGGCGACCACTTTGAGATTTTTATACACTGTTGATTGGGTTTGTATAATCACTGATAATTTGATCTTTAATTCTTGTATGTGTGAATTTATTACTTTCTTTGTTGCGTGATTTATGTATAAATAAGTTGTAACGGGAATCCCTTTGTTGTGGGAATATTCTACGTCCTATTAAAAGGTCGTACAACAAAATAATAAAATTGAGCTTCTTTCAAAGTTCAAATCTTGTTATAAAAATGAATACGTGACAAACACATTTTAGTTTGAAACAATAGAGAAAATTAATACTTACCCGAGAGCGATGGAGGTTATGAAGTGAATTTTGAGTAATTTAGAGATTATGAAGTGAATTTTGAGTAGTTGAAGATTCATTTGTGATAGTTTTGAGAGAGGGCGCACTCCCTGAACCCCGTCGTCTTTATGCCCACCATATTAGCATTTCAGGTTTTGCAGCTGTTGATTTACCACTAAATTTTAAATATGTTTGACTAAAATTTTGGATTCGTTCGTTATTCACTATTAACTGATTAATAAGTAAAAAATAAATCCATAAGCAATTCATCTATAACGTCATATTAAAATTATTGTTTTTTGGTAAAATAATCAAGTATTACATTAAGGTAAAACACATTATTTGAAGCTAAAGGCTTACTTTGAGAGATTAAACTAAGCAGTGGAGAAAACAGAATTTTATTTTTGGGAGGACTGAATTTACACTAAAAGTTTTAAATAAAAAATAACGTGAAGAAATTAATCACAATAATGATTATTTAAAGAGTTGCCAGTCTAGGATATTGTTACATGATGAATTTAAATTTTCAGTGGTTCAGGGCAGTGCCCTTGGAAAAAAATTAGGATTTTTTCTTTGTTGGCAAAATCAAAAGACTGGAAAAGAAAAATTTATGACTTACTTTGCATTAATTTGAATTTCGGGTGGACTAAATAATAAAATATGGATGGACTTAATAAATATATAGAAGGAATATAGTAAAAAACAAATTCCAATTGAGGTGGGATTGAATCAATCATTGCCCAAAGGTGGACTCGCCTCTTGTTCTATATATGACACACTCCGTTACTTTCTTATCATACTTGTTAGACTAATTTATTATTTATTTTCTACAAGAAAAATACTGATTTCTAGGTTTTTTATATAAAACTAATTTCTTAAAAATTATAGGAGCACAATACAAGGACAATAATTATATATCCATCCATATATAGTAGTAAAAAAGGTAAAATTTGAGAGGTGCCATGGCCTCCCTTGGCAGTACACTGACTTCCCCACTGAGACTAAATATTACTCGTAGAGTTTACTTATAAAGTTTATTGAGAAATTAGTTATGGAGCATAGTGAATGGTCATTTACAATGGAATACTTACCTATATACAATCATCTCTCCCAAAAATATGTAAATCTGATTTTGCAAACGACTATTGTGCATGAATGTGATTTTGCATGTGCATGTGCATAAGTCACTCTCTATGGTATGTGGGTATGTGTGCGCGCGCGTGAAGAGTTTCAGTGATGGCAGCTGCAGGAAGGGAGAGTGCAGAAGGTCTGAAAGGGTGCATCAAAAATAAATAATATGATGAAGAAGATGATATGGATAAAAACTTTTGGTGTTCAAACATATTTAACGGATTATTACTTATCTAAAAAACTTAGTAATATGAAGTAAATAAATATATATAACATTAACATTGAAAGTTAATAAAACTTGCCCATTATTTGTTTGATAAGTGCGTGATTTTTCAAATGTATACTATATATCATTATATATAATTATACAAGTTTTGAAAACATTTAATGTACTAATCAACTATTACATTTTTTGACAAAGTTTACTAAATATTTAGTTGTGCAGTTTTTGAAATTTATCTAAACCTCAAAAGATTCTTCACATAATTTGTGATACATCTAGAGAGTATTTATTACACATGGCATTCAAAAACTTTCAATAAATATTGAACCCTCCAAAAATTATTTGCTTTAAAATACCTGCAAAAGTAAAAATATTGTACTTCGTGTTATTTTTAGTGTTTTATCTCTATCTTTCCTTGTTTCTCTTTTTCTTTAAAGTTGGACCCCGTAGGTAGTCACTTTTTTATGGTTAACTTTATTCAAATTTTACATTCTTCTCATTTGTATGTGTTGTTACTTGGTATGTATTAACATCCATTTTGATTGTATGATTAGATTTAGATTAGATGAATTTAACTCGTACTTTTATTTATGTCTGATCAGCGATCCACGTGTTGTCTGTTGATTAAAAAAAATCTTTATTATCCTTTTGTTACTGTGATTTGCTTTCCTCTATTTTTTGGCGTCTTGTATTTTTCATCGTATGTGTTATTTTGTATCCGTTATAGGCGATGTTATAATAAGATCGATCCCGACAAAAGTTTATCATTTTAATTTTTTACTGTTATTCGACAAGAACTCTTCTTTATGCTAGTATTAAATGACCTTATGGTTATTTTACTATGATTTTCTTTCCTCCATTTTTTGGCGTCTTGTTAGTTTTATCGTATGTGGTATTTTGTATCCGTTATAGGCGATCTTATAATAACACCGATCCCGACAAAAGTTTATCATTTTAATTTTTACTGTTATTCGACAAGAACTCATCTTTATGCTAGTATTAAATGACTTTCTAATTATTTTAGTGTGAAAAAGTTCCTTAATGGGGTTACAGAATAACAGTTAGCTACA